ATGAGATGAGTTTGGTGGGGTCTCAGTTCCAGTCCCTACGTCACGCACTTGCACCTAGCAGTGCAAGTGGTCGGAAAAGTTTCAATGAAGCATTTTTTCATTGGAATTCAGCAATTTAATGAACTTTATTGAATAAGACTGGAACAGTTTTCACAGTCTCTTCAGAAACTTGCCTGATTTTCTGCCAGCTCCCCCTCATGTCTCCTTGGAAGACCCCTGGCAGGCTGTGGCCCCCATAGATCTGTGGTTATGAACTCCCTTCCCTTTCCCACAATGTTTCAAAACATTGCTATTTCACTCCAACTGGAAGAAGAACACATTTTAAAATCAAAATCCCCCACAAAATGGAATTACATTTCTCCCCCAACACTGGTCACAACCATGTTTTCCACAAATTGTCACACAGTCCAAAGAAGTACACGGACCACTGTGGAAAAACTACCCTGTGAACCCTGCAGGATATCACCATCCAGATCAGGGCTGAGGCAAGGCTGCATGCAGAGGGAACTTGTCCTACTGCTGCCCTATAGATAAACAAAGTTCAGTCTTAAAGGCTGTCAAACAAAGATCTTTCACCAGCTCTAAGTACAAACATATTGTCACCAGCAGCATGTGGCTATATGCTAATTAGCCCATTAATAATTTGTATAAAATGTCACAAATGGAACTGCACAGAACTTGGCAGCAGTAGATATACAGCTTCCTACTTCAGAACATAAGCCGAGAGCTAATTGACAGGAATCTGGAAGAAACGATTCCTGAGGGCAGGTTAGTCAATAATTGCCCACCAAAGACAAGACATTGACTGGATAGTCTGTGGGCTAATCCATTCTGACTCTTACTGTGCTCCTAGAAATAACCAGAGTACAGCAGCCCTGTGGCAACGCCTCTAGCACATCCCTCTCATCAAAGGCTCGTGAGAGGGGTAATATCAAGCCTCCAGCCACGGAAAAGCCTTTGGAGTACAGTAATGAGAAAGCATAAACTGGGCCAATCGTGCCTCTCCATGTCTGTCTTTGCCTTTCTGCCTAACATGAAGCTATGATATTTTGTCCCGATACTTCCCAGTTTCTGTTTGCTTTTTATGAAGCAGGTCCCATCCCCAGATGCTAAAGAAATGTCACAAAAAAAAAAGTTGTGTTCTCTTTGGTTCTTGTGACATCAGTCCCTCCCCCTTCCTTAGCCTTGCTGTTATTATTGCTGTTCGGCATTGAGAGCCAAGAGATTCCGCAGCACAACAGATGGCTCCATCGACTTCTCAGACTCTCCTCATCCAGGCACACCATGGAGTTCAGGCAAAAATCCCTTTGCCCCCCAGGCACTTGAAACCACGTGTGTGTGGCAAAGCTGGGAGGAGCCCAGATCTCCCAGCGTCTGGAAGCCTGGACTCCCATCCCAAGTGGAAGAGGGGAGAGATGCTGTTGCTCAAATTTAACACCCATGAAGAAGTCATGGGTACAGTCACCTCAGCTGGTGTCCTGGGGCCTGGAGGAGGAGAAGTACAGTGGTCTGTTTTCCAGGAAAGACCCTCTAGCCTTGGATTTAGTCCAGTGAAGTCTGCAACGCTGGGGGCTCACACATCTCTCTCCCAGTCTTGCTCACACAGCTGCCCTGGGGCCAGGCACCCTGGTAGTGAAAGGAAAGGCCCAGAATGCCAGAGTGCTGTTAGCTGCCCCAGCCAGGCTCTGCATTGTGGTGGCCTCAGGGGCCCTTGCTGCCTGGAGACCTCCCTGGTGGCATCAGCCCCCCAAGGCCCCAATGCTGCATCTGACTACCTGACACCCTGCTCCTCATGGCTTGTCTAGGGGGGAGCCACAACACGTCTGCCCAGGAGGGACCCCTGTGCCTGCACATCCCCAGCCTAGGAGCTTTGGGGGTGGAGGAGACAAGAGAGGGGCAGAGGGACTGCCAAACTGCCAGCTGTTCAGAGCACAGCTTGTCCTGAACCAGCCAGGGCTGAACCCTGAAGTGTAAGGTGAGGGCCTGGGTGCTCATGCAGGCTCCCTCTCTCAAACACACCCACCCTGTCCCGTCCCTCCCATCCCCCCAGGGAGCACTTGATCCGAGACACATACACACCTTGTGCCTCATCCTTCCCCACACAGCATGCCTGATGCACACACGCACGCACTTCCCGTGGCACACGCGAGCCTCGCACCCTCAGCCAGCCCCCGCCGCCATGTGCTGTACACGGCCCTGCACGCACCGGCCCGGGCCGGGCGGACACGCTCCTTTGGCCGCGAGCAGCAAACGCCTCCCGCAGCCCCCGCCGCCACACGCGCGCACACACACACGCACGCACGCGTCGCAGGCTGTCGCACGCACGCACACGCGGGCTGTCACGCCCGCACACACCCACAGGGCGCACACA